GTTTCCTAAAGCTGTGAGCGATTAAAACCAGTTTTCGATGCCTGACAATCGCTTGAGTAATGGAATAGAATGGGCGGTTCACTGGCGATAGTGAGAGAGGGGATGTGGAGGTTAGGTGCCATGTTATGCTCTTCTGAAGGCAAAACATAGAGGCAGAAGTGGAATTCATACGAAGCTTGCGTATTATTGAGAAGAGCTTGGACTGCGAATTACATTGTTGATTACGTCAACGAACAATGGGGCTTTGAAGGGCCTTTTCGCGGTTGCTTCCTGTCCTTTGTTGTGAAGGTTACGTGAAGTTACTTCAGTTCCACCTTGAACCACCCAATTGTCTTCGTACTCCTACTTGAAGCCGCCCTCTTCATTCTGGGAAAAGACTCCCAAAAGCAGCTAAAAAATTGCTATAACGAAGGGAGGGAAAGTGGAGCACGAATTTAATGTTGAAACAAGTGCCGGGGCAGAAGATGATGCCTTCCCCCTTGTGGACGACGTTTTCGTCTCCTTTTGCAGAATCCATGGTATTGGCAGTGGTGATGATGGTGAGAGAAGTGTCGCCTTATTCTGTAGAAGACATTGTGGTTCTGCTAATGCTGGTCGTGCTGTTTTCAACCTCGCTACCGCTGCTTCTCCCGTTTCACCGTAGATGTACTCTCCTTGAAAGTCTATTCGAAAATGCTAGTCTGGAAATAGATTTATAGTTTGGCGTAATTCATTGGCAGCAGACTTAAACTTCACTGTCATGAGGACAAGTTGGAGGGCAACTAAAGGGATGGATTTGAGTTCCAGAACTAAGCATCAGCGCTCACACTATACTCTAGAGGTTCTTAATGATTCCAGTTTGAGTATGTCTGTATCTCTGGCAGAATTGTTTTCAGCAACAGTGATGCGTGAAGTTCATGCAGAAAACTTTGTAAAACGGCATAGAAGCCTGTTTGATGACAACAGTGCCACGAGAAGCGGTTATTCCTATTTTGACCACACTGTCATGAGCGTGACTAATAACTTGCGACCCTAAAATTGAGAAGTTTACGGAATAAGGGATTGACCAAAGCACTTTGTTCCTATCAGCGTTCTACTAACCGGTGAGTAGTTCCCTTCCAGAATTTATACTTTCACCTCCTGTCACAGGCGTTCTTCCCAAATGCGAAAATCCGCGTAGTCAACAAACCTGTTAAACACAGTGTCTGCCTTCTAGCATCGACAAAGTGAGCTCGTTGGTGGTGATTGTCGGAGCAACAGTGTGTCACCTCTCCACATGTCTGCAGTCCCGTCATATTGGATTTTTAATGACAGAAGGCGAGATGGGAGAAGAGAGTCTGAGTGGAAGCGAGTGTGGATACATCCATCTCCCCGATAGATGCTGTCACTCCTCTCTATCACCAGGCTTAATTCCCTCTTTGTCCCGTCCTTACTGATCCCACTCAACCTTTTGCCACCAGCTGCACGCACACTTTTTCTCTTCCACTGTTGCTTTGATCTCATTTCTCACCCCATTGTTGTATCAGCAGGCGATGGAAGACTTGCAGGACTACCTAAATCACTGTACGGACCAGATAAGGAACGTCTGTGTTGCGATGATTTCAAGGTTGGAGAGCCTTCTTACCACTGTTCAGATACCTAATGTTGTTGGTTGGTTGCCTTTTGAAGTTTACGTCCACCTATCGCTTCGTCTGTATTCTTTGTTAGAATTTTTATTTATTGATCGTTTAATTTGAACTTATTTAGTAGATGGGTTAGGATTACACGACCAATCTCTTTTACCATCGGTTTCTTGAGAGGTTATAGGTCATGCTACACTACTTTCCAAACAAACTTCTGAAAACAATTTCAACTCTATCTTTGCAGATCGCTTACTGATCGTGAAGCGGGACTTGTGATTGTGATAACTGTCAAACAGTGGAGGAAATCTCGGTGTTCCTGCTCTTGTCAATCTGCCCATTC